TAGGCTCACTATTGGCCAGCATCACACGCATGACCAGCGTCGGCCAATAGTCGAAAAGTAATAATAACGAAAGTTTTACGGGGTTGGAACAACATGAGGGTGAGTAATTACTGACAGAATTTTCATTTTTGGGTGAACTATCCCTTTAAGTAAAAATTCTGTCATTATTAATTCTCCTTAATGTTCCCCACACAGCTCTTTCTCATACATAATTTCAGTTTTTCCTAACACTAAAGAAAGCTTATATAGCCTTAGTCTAGTGCAGTCACAGTGCAGACTAAAGCGGTGTCCCAATTCAGAGGCTGCATCCTTCAAAAGGCCGCATTTAAAGGCCGGATGCGAAGAAGGCTGTCCCAATTCAACGGATCCTTCAAATGTGATTTCCAAATGCATCCTTCGTTTCCTGTGCAATGAAGGATACAACAGATGGATCCTTCGCGGCCTTGCCTACCCCAGAATTGGCTTTATGCCACAGCTTCACTACTTCCTGAACTTCAGCCAGCCCTTTGTTTCCTGTCTGTCATTATTGGACAAACTGATTAATCCAGGTGTGCCTGGCCTCAGTAACAATAATCAGGCACACCTGGATTAATCAGTTTGTCCAATAAACATTAAAAAGTCAAAGTCAAGTTTTATGTAATTTAAGTTGAAATGACTTAACCAAGTTGATTGTACTTAAAAATTTGAGGGAGCAACTTTTTTTACAGTGTAGTTTATACACTTTATTACAGAAATGGACATGGTGAACATATCTAGACAGTTTGTGAACCCTGTTTTGTTTTCAGACGGTTTAATATAACTTTCAAAAAAGTCTAGTACAAACGTTACTGTCACTCATCACAGTCAAAGTTGCTAGGCGACAAGAACAATCCTCAGTATAGACCGTCCCATTTAACAGCGCTTGGTCCGACCTTCACACGCATGGTCAATATGAACTGTAGTTCATATAAAGATTCTTCAAAAATTCTCCTTTCCCAAAATCCATATGAGTATGGGTCAGTCCCTCAGTATGGTGTCCCAATTCAGAGGCTGGATCCTTCGAAGGCCACAAAGGTAAGACCAATCGTTGTTAAATGGGACGGTCTAGCCTTAGCAACTGTGACAGCTGCCGATTATGAGTGACAGTAACGTTTGTACTGGACTTTTTTGTTACAATAGGCCTATTTCACAAAAATGGCCGCCGAGACCAGAAGTAGGGTAAACTCTTTTCCGGTGAAAGCCATAGACAGGGTGAAAGCGCTAGCAGTTACAGTCGGAGGACAAATGCGGAGATTAAAAGCGGTTGCTTACCTTTTTACCGTAATTCCTCAAATAAAGACCGGTATTCAAATAAACGCCGGGCCTCTGATAGTGGCCGGGGGCGTGGTCAACGCGGACAAATAAAGGCCGGTCTCAAATTAAGGCCGGGGAAAAATTAGTGTGAATAGGTACACTTTAAATGAGTGTACACTCAAAGACGGACGCGCTCAGCGCTTGTCATATATCACAACTATTCAGTGTTTTTAACCACATGTTTATTTTAGGTTTCAGACATTTAAATAGATATGATTTATAGCAAAACAATAAATTTATAGTTTGTAAAATACACAATGGTGTCTATGGAAGCAGCAATAACAATCCATTCAAATATATTTGGCGACGTGTTTTATTCATATCAGATACACAGTGTAAGTAACTATAAAGTTTACTCTATTCTTCTCCCAGTTCACCGGCCACTTACTTTCATGTATTTCGGGAGAAACTGAAGAATTCACGCGCTGTAACTTAACAAATACAACAGGAATCTCCGAACTGCGGTGCCCATCTCACGTTACAGATCAAGATAATTTATAAAGGGTTTTAAACGACAAAACAAACTCACTTACACGGATTTGAGAGTCAGAATAGAAGATAGTTGATGACATGGTAAGCAAGTTTGTTAATATTTAGAAATAAAAGCGCTACATCTGTCATACAGCGCTATTTTGGCTGTGGTGAACACGTGCCAAGCATGACGCGTCACCATGGAAACTTGGCTGGCGGGCGGGCGGGGATCGCGAATTATAAATAAAGGCCTGCCTCTAATAAAAGCCTGCTTCAAATAAAAGCCGGCTACCATCTGCAGTTCAGGTAAATAAAGGCCCCGGCCTTTATTTGAGGAATTACGGTATGTTTCAACCCAAAGAAGAAACAACCCTATTGATCACTTCACAGCTTTTCGTGTTTTGCGGGTTTTCATGGAACAATCGGGGAGAAGTTAAATCACGCCAGGCGCGTGTGAAGGAGGAAGCAGATGTTGAAATGGAGTGTTGATGCCGGTTCGGGACTGATGCCCTGACAAAACATGTTTATATTAGGGGTGCGCCAAAATATCGATATGGCGATATCTCACGATATTTACTCCCGCGATCGATTCTCGATGCGCTCTTGCCAAGTATCGATCTTAAAAGCCGTTATAAAACGCTCTATTCATTATCCGAGTTGACTGGATTTGACTAGCTTTCATGAGGCACACACTCAAGTCTCTCGCTCTCTCCCTCTCTGCCGTGCTATGTATGTTATGCGCGCAGTAGGCTATGTTCTGTCTCGCATGCGCGCTCTAGATTTCGGGAGATTTGAACTAATTTGCAGGCATCAGGGAGACGCTATTATTATGCGGGAGACTCCCGGAACTTCCGGGAGACTTGGGATGTCTGGATTTGCAAAAGTCCGCTACACGGGAAACACGACCACATGCACAGACACCTCACGCGGCATCACCTGGAGCTCTGTGAGAAAGCCGTGGTTGGTGCTGGCTCGAAGCCGACACACCCCGGCGTAAACATTTTTATTACTACTGATTGCAGCAATGTTACACTAAAATAGTGTCTGTGACTGTTTTGTTGCAACTGATAAGACACAAGTTGTTTTTGTTATTGTGTTTCATCCAAAAAAATAAATGGAGATTAATTTTCCTAATAAAAAAAAAAAAAAAAAAAATCTTAAAACATGATATTGTGAGTTATTATTGATAATATATCGATTATCGCAGTATCGCCATATCGTGATATTATCGGTATCGTGAACAATGTATCGCATATCGTATCGTGAAGTAGCCAGCGATTCCCAGCCCTAGTTTATATTGCACTTGATTGTTATCCGATTTGCACGTCATGCACTTTTATTTATTATTATTAACTGTTGGCAAATTAAAATTGTTTGTAGAAGTTGTTTTCTGTAACTTTCTTTCCTTTTTACCTGGGTGCGTTGCCAGGCCTGCTGTTTACTTGTGCAAGCAAGGGCAGCTGGGACATTTATTAAACGTATAAAATACTTTCCAAACCGTTACATATAGTCTTATAAATTCAGACGTTTGTGATATAAAAAAATAAACATATTGGAATAATTTTTAAAGTTGTTTGAACACGGAGCAGTTTTTTCCGTGAGTGGGACTGGAAAACCCGGAGTGGATCAGGAGCGGAGTGATAATAGAACGCTTCTGTGCAGAGAGGAACGGGCTTTTGCTCCAGTCCAGGCTTTGATCACATCTCCCTAAGCGGGTGAACACCTCGTCCTTCCGACCCATTCGAACTAAAATTAAGACATTTATTACACTATTTGAGAAATATAAGCATATTTACGGCCTTAAAATAATGAAAAGGGTAATTTAAGAAACAGGGGGAACCTGATATTAACGGAAGTCCGTCGTAGCGACGGATAACTTTAATCCCTGTATATATTATTTAGTGTATTACTGAATATAAAATTACATTATATATTAGTAAATATATTCTCACATTTTTAAATATATGAAAATGACTTGTTTCTATGCAAAAAGTGACTTGACATGTTTCATTCAATATATTGTAATATATTAACACCATATATTACTCTGTATTTTTTCAAATATACCGTACTGTTAAACCATTTCATATATTGATAATTCATATAGGGAATATTTTCTTTTCATAAGGGGACCCCAGGCAGTTAAATATTATTTTGTAACATGATTTTTTTTTTTTTTAAACATGTAATATCAATTACTTCATTCATGTTTTTAGTATAACTATTTTTGTAATTTCATTATTAGACATACTAGCAACGTGAGGTCAAATTCACTGTAAAGATGTACAATTCTTAGTTTCATTCATGGTAACATGAAAAAGGAGCCATAATCTAGTGGAAGATTACTGCAATCTCCTGGACTAACACTTAATAACATGATTTTTTTTAACAAAAGCCACTAGATTTCACTCATAGCCTACAATCAGACATCATTTCAATATTTATTTATTGTTTTTCGATATATTAACGTTAAAAGTGAGCTTAGTCATCAAGTGTCATGCCATTTAAATGAATGGAACTTTTTTTTATGTAACGTAAGCACTAAGCAAACGTCAAGAATTTGTCCAATTTCGATCTTTTCACAACTCCCTGAAAACTATCAACAAAACGGACAACATCTGATATTCTTACTTTTGTCAAATAACGTTATATGAATGACTGAGAGAGAAAACAAGCTGTTCAAAGTCCATTTTGAAAATGAATGGCGATCGTAGCGGGCAGCGGCGCGACCAGAAGTCTTTTTGCCGTCTGTGTCTGGCGTGATTTAACCTCTCCCCAGTTGTTCCATGAAAACCCGTAAAACAAAGCTGTGAAGTGATAAATAGGGTTGTTTCTTCTTTGGGTTGACATAAACACCATAAAAAGGTAAGCAACAGGACTAAACCGCTTACAGTTTCCGCATTTGTCCTCCGACTGTAACTGCTAGCGCTTTCACCAGAAAAGAGTTTACCCTACTTCCGGTATCTGGGGCCATTTTGTGAAATAGGCCTATAAACGGATTCACAAAAGGGCTCACCATGGTCCATTTCTGCATAAAAGAGTATAAACTATATTTCTATATAAACTATAATAAACTATCATTTCACGGGAAACTAAGGATGCATTTGAAGGAGCCTTCGAACTGGGATGTCCGTAGCTATAGTGACAGGACTTTAAACTTTGGAACTATCCCTTTAAATGCAGACAATGGGCAAACCTCATTCGCTTCGGCTCAGCTGCCTCAAGGTGAGTAACCGCTCTCTGATGACCCTGTTCTCCTCCAACATTTTCTTGATTGTGCTCAATACATCCTGTTTTGTTTGGGACTGACATGGAAAAACAACAACACCACATTGTCATGAAAATTAAAATAAAATGCCATAAAATTCTGAAACTATACCAAACCCACAATTTCCTCTGCTGCTGCTTGAGGATCTCTTGGTGGGAATCCAAAAGTATCAGATGAGGGCCCTTTTCACACACACACACACACACACACACACACACACACACACACACACACAGCACAGAGAAAACACGCAACTGCATTCATTCTGCTGTACACAACAGAGTGATATGAAAACCTGTGCGTTTTAAATGACTGCATGAGTGGCTGTGGTCCACACGCACCTCCGCGAGCGTCACGTTTGGCGCGCTGTGATTTCCCGCCTTCAGGTGCCCTCAGATTAACTGTAGATTTCTGATAAGTCCTTATATTCGAGTAAAACCTCAAAAGATGGTTTGTTTTCATCTTTCTTGAGAAACATGGTGTTATTTCTGGACTTTTGAAGTGGAGCAAGGGTGAGGGAGTAGCCTCTTGAGTCAACCTGTTCCAATTCCTACTCAGTTTATGGTGTTTGCTATTTTCCCCGGTAAATCCCGGTTTCTTGAAAATTTGTGGCGACTGAGAGCTGAAGCTCGGTGTGTAGAGTAATTTACAGTAAGTTGCCATTGTTAACGACGAAACCACACTTTACGAACTAAAATAAATAAATGAGCGTAAGTGAAACTTAAACTGTTCAAATTTATTAACGCCAGAAGAAGTCGAGCTCATCAACAGTCACTTCAGGTTTGAAATGGAGGCTCAATCACAAGCGCAGTGCAAAGCAAAGCACCTGATATGACCTTAAAGGAACAGTTACGCAATAATGAGTTCATAAAAAAAAAAATATCCAAAAAGAAACCACATCGTGTTTTGTTTTCCAAGCCCGTATTACTTTGTCATTTGGGGAAATATTTTCCCCAATACAATGAAATTAAAATAGATTATTTTGTATTCTGTGCTATAATAGACCTATTAAAAGCCATAGCTTTGCGTGAGGAACAACCAAACTTGATGATCAAATCGATTTAAAATATTAGGCAGGTTTCAAATAAAATATGGCGCCTATGACGACATGCGGACGAATAAATGATGACAAAATGTTTTCCATTACGTAATCAATGTTGGCCTTGAGATACACAGTAAATGCTTCAGATGACTGTTCCAGGCCAGCATTGTTAAATTTTTACATACAGCCTGCCTTAGTAAAAAAAGTAATACTATATAATAGCTACGTAAAGTTATATTGTCTGAGATGAATGAATGCCTAAACAAGTCTTTCATTTAATCATAATTACGAAAGGATCTACCGGTGTAAAATCCATATATATATATATATATATATATATATATATATATATATATATATATATATATATATATATATATATATAGGCTATATGTATCCATATAATCAATACCATAGTGGACTTCCATTTATAAACAAAGTCCACTTGTTGTGTGGTATTAATTGAAGACCCGCCAGAGGGCGCTGTTTGTGTGCTTCTGCAGTGATCATGTGTGGGCGGCCTCTAAATCAGACTGCCTGTGTGTGTGTGTGTGTGTGTGTGTGTGTGTGTGTGTGTGTGTGTGTGTGTACCGTGTTCAGACCAAAACAAATACTGTGCACTAGTAGATGATTTGCATATAATAATATGAATTGCAGTATGAGAATCTCTAAGTAATGCAAGTCCATACAGTTTAGATGTACTTCTGTGCATAAATCATGAGGCCTGCCCTCTCACCAGCTCCATTAATACACCTTCAAGTTGTTGTAAAAACAGCAATAAATCTTAATAAATCCAGCAAAGTTCTCACCCTGATGTCCTCCTTGTAATCATAATACTGTCTTTTAGGCAGCATGCATGTGCTGTATCAGACAAGCTAAAAATAGATTTTTTTGACCCCATTCACAGTCAGTAGTGTGCCAGAAGCTTTCTGCATTTCCTTGCGCTCTGTTAAAATAACTAACACTTTGATTTGATGTACAGTAGGTTGAGTTAAATTAAACACAACAGGAATTACAGAGCCAACTTCCTATCAAAGGTTTCATTGATAACTTTCATGGTTAAGACAAGACATTCGGCATTTCCTGCAATCAAGTTTATTCATTCAACATTTCACATTACAAATACTTTAAGCATTCTGTTATAAATATTTAACCGCAAATAATCAAGACTCAACTACCAAAGCACATGTATGTCTAAATGATATTTTTTCTTTACATAACTCCATGTGGATGTAAAATATAAAAATTAAAACTTTTAAATGACATAGCAAAAAAATTGTTCCTCTTATAAAAATCTATTGATAAATACACCTTCCCATACAGTTATAAACTATGTAAATTTAAATAAGCAGTTACATAGAGAATTTTCTGATATTTTTTCTTATCCTTCTGTAGGCATGAAGCACAATATAGTGATTATTAAAACTAGAAAATCTAATAAGTGTACTGATCAAAAACTATAATCAAAATGACAATTATTACATTCCAATTAAAAATATATCAGTAAATGGTTGAAACATTATTCACTTAGTATTTACATTGTAGTCACAGTAGCATGAACTCAAGTAGGAAAATATGTGAATACATAAAAGTAAAAACACCTATAATTTCAGTGGTATTGTTTTTTTTTACTGTATAAATCAGAGAATAATAAAGGTTATAATAGCTGAAGGAAAGTTTGTGAGGTGATGCATGTTGAAAGTGGTGGATTTGCACATAAGTAGTTATATTAGAAGTACAATGTAAAGGTCTCTGGGAAAACGTATTGCACAGATCTCACTGTCAATATTTTGAAAGTGTATTCAAGTAAACCCTGAATCAATTTATGACTAAATCACCCTCTTGAATGCTTCATTTTGTCAACTAGTAAAAACGGTAAAAATGGGGTATGCACAGTTTGTGCATGGGTAAGGTACATAACTCAAAGCGTTTTCCCACAATGTGGGAAAAGGGTTGAAAAAACCCCACTATTAAAGCAAGAGAAAATAATTAAACCCTAACTTCTTAATTTAGCTCATGCATACCTAATGAATAAATTAACCTTGCTGCCTCTCAGAATTATACATAACAGTAAACATTGATATTTCAATATGGAACATTCATCATTGTGATACACGTTGCATCCTAATATTTCTCTAATTTACATGGTTAATTATTTTATTTTCTACAGCCAATAATGAGGGAGGCATCATCATTCTCATAACTGATAGAGGGCAGGTACTGGATAGGTATATATTTCTACATGTACCACACATTTTAAGGAATTTGTGTCATGCTAGATTCAATATTTGCTTTGTCCATTAAGATAGAAAAGAACACTGTTTGCATTTTGCAAATATTAGATATTAGTTTGAACAATACAGTCACCTAAATATATATATATATATATGTGTGTGTGTGTGTGACAATCTAGGGATTTCAGAACGTAAATACATAACCTAAACAAAATTATATTAGCTTTTTTTTCTTTTCCTTAAGGTATGCTTGCATCATAACCAGATCTCTTAGTAACAAAAAGTACAAAATCTATATTCAACAAGTGAAAAAAAAAAAGTTATCACAAAAGGACTTTCCATTTGTGGAAAAAAGTGACTTGAAAAACAATATTTAGAAAAGTAGTGCATAATGGTTTTACGTCCATGACAAAATAATTAGCTATAAAACACAGTACAAAAATCAGCAGACCATGTAAAAAATAATATTTGTTTTTCAAATTCTTTGAAATGTGCTCAGCTACTGCAATGCTCAGTTAGAACACCAATTAACCCATGGCAAAACCCATGCAGTAAAACACTATCAATGCAAAACATGGTAATTCCTCATTAGCAAATACTACAACATTGAGTTAGCTTTTAGCACAAAATCCCTGACAAATGAGCCAAAGTTACTGCCATAACCATTACAAGAATCATAAACACTGTGAAGTGAATAGAATTCATTATTTTTTTTAAATCCATTAAACCAATTATGTTTTTAAGCTTTCTAGTCATTGTATCATAGACAGTAGGACATCTCTAAGGCTCATCTTTGGTTTGCCTGACCAAAAACCTGTGTATCAAGCACAACAAACAGTCACATCCTGTATTATCACCGCATCTCTGCTGTTCTTAGTCGTTGCCCTTTAGCCTTAAGTCTTATGCTTGATTTGATTAAGTAATAGGTAACTTGGATGTAGTTTAATAGTAATCTTTACAGAATGGGTTACTCTAAAGGATTTTAATAACTACATCTTTTTTTCTTTTTTGGCTAAATCACAAAGATTTGCCTTACACATGAGAACCAGTCCATATAATCCATTCCAGAATAGGTTGCGGCCTCTTGTTAGTTGTTACTGTGCATTTGAAAGGAGTAACTATGATTCCACATTTGCCATGCAACCAGTTAAGATTAGTCAGTGAAATAGCAAACCTCAACATTAAAGTCATATAAATGAGGCTTGAACCCTTACATTGTTAGCCTCTGTGTTTAGCCTTCAACAGATTCAAGTGAAAATGTGACCTATTACAAACAGAAGATGACGCTCCAAGAGAATAAAGATAGAACAGTAATTCAAGTCAGGCTAAACATCTATATATATATATATATATATTATTTTTTTTTAAATCTAATGCATTCAAGTCTTCATGCGCACCAATGTAGCTTTTCAACAAAAATCAGGAATACACCATTTTCTTTTAGCATTCTCTTCTGCAAAAAAAAAAAAAAAATTTTTTTTTAAAACTTAAGAATAAATACAATTTTAGACTTAAAAAAGAACTCTAACTAAAAAGGACTTAGCAAAATGAAAAGTGCATGTATACGAATAGCACAGCCTTGGCCTCCCAGATCAGTTCCAGCGGAAGGAGATGTGGCGAGGCCGGTCTCCTCCCTCCTTCACTAGAGGCTTGTGAAACTCCCGTCCGGCACGCGAGTGAATGGCTGCCCAGCAGTATTCACAGTAGTACTGAAGACAAGTGACATTAGCACAGAAGAACGGAGCAAACTTGCCCCCACAACGCGTGCCCTGACACTCATCACACAGCTGGTCATCCAGTACATATGGCTTCACTTCCACCTGGGAAAGGTAGACACTTTTAGCTTAGCACATGTAACGGCAGGCTGGCCTTGACCATGAAGAACAAAAGAATTAGGATAATAAACCATTTAAACAAATAAGGCAAAGAGCCCGACATTATTGTAGTATGCAGTAGATCAGATCTCCATTTTCTTTTAGAGGCTTATTTTCTTTATAAAACTTAAATGCGTTTATTTAAAAAATAAACAGTCATTTGACTGGCTAAAGAACTTAGGGCCAGATTTACCAACAGCTTGCGCCAGCGCAAACCCTCTTTTGGCTTAAAAAAAAAAAACGACTGTCAGGATTTACTAAAGACACGCAGTAAAAAATTTGCTCTGAAAAGGCATGGGCACAGTTAGTTTTGCGGCTGACCTTATTGCATATTTCCTTTTCAGGCTCAAAATTTATGTGAGGAGAGTATTTAAATGAATCATGCAAGGCGCTCGTCAACTTACTGGTGTTTGCGCCATTATTAACCCCCCCCCCCCCCCCGGAAATTATCGGACTGTGTCGGTGTTCTTTAATTTGCACGTCGTCAGTAAATAACGCACTGAATTTTCCACTCCCATCAGCAGTGTTTTGGAACTGCACTCACGCTTAT